TTTTTTTTTTTTTTGATTAACTCGAATTGAGTCCCAAGCCATTTCCAATCACTCAGTAGTAATTTTTCAATCGTAGTATTATATCTTATTTGTTTAACTTCTATAGAGGGTTCTATTTGGGGAGGGGGGGGGGGTGAAATTAGCCTGGAGCGCATGTGATTGAAAAGCATTCATCGCCATTGAGGCAACACATTTGACCTTTCTGCTCATAAGGAGCTTTTCGATGCGGTTTTTGGCATTCCGGGTTTACATTCAAGGAATCAACTAATGTTTTTTGAAGTTGTTTTACAAATACTAGAACAAGACTGGAGTGTTTTTCTCAATAACTACAATTATGAAAACTTTGTGAAGTATCCACCATGAAGGTGTGGGAGGGACGTTCTTACCATTGCGCCTTCGTGATTGGTGGATTCTTGCTCTTTCGCTAATAATGGATTTCGTTTTCCGTATTTTAGATGACAACTAAATGTTATGTAAAAGAGCAATGTAGCAATTACTACTAAAAGTACTATATATAATATAAGAAATACATTAATCATACGTTGTAGCGTCGTTGTATGCAACATCAATGTGCGTCATGCGTTCTCCAAGTACCTGATCTAATTTGAAAAGGCATTTCTGCAAAATCGTTCATGCGTGAGAATTGAAGAAAATTTCGCAATCGAATTCTTTCAAGAAAAAGTTTCTAAAAGGTTATGCAAAAAAGTTTACTTCGTCCGCATTAACTCGGTGAGAGGTTGAATCACCGAGTGTGAAGTGACAAAAAGCGCAGTCAGCGCAAACATGATTCAGCAGTATCGAGGATTAATCCTCATTTGGTTTATGCCTATGGTATCCTCCCTTTCAGGACCGATGGCTGAATTCTCTGAGTCCTTTTCAGGGCATGGAGTGCCTACTAGCATTGTTCTGCTCGCCCAGTCATCGTTAAGTCAAATACTCAGTCAGAAGTAGAATACATGGCGCACCCCGAGAATGAAGAAGATTGGTTAAGAGCTGAAGTTAATGCGTTTCCAGTCCTCCTCAAACCCATGAGTAATTGACAGGCAGTTATACTAGTTTTGCAATTACTCATTACTTCACAAGTTTGCAAATCTGCCGGTAAATCAGGATTTCTGTGTTCGGAGGGTGAATTAACTATTGAATGGCTGAAGGTCACTCGTTCTAAACGCTCTAAACGCTCGCAATCTACTAGTATGAGTCGATAACATGTAACTGTAACAGCGAAGGTAAAGGGACCTCCTTTCCGATTCAGAAAATTCCTCAGACTCGAAAGGGCCTCCCGCAATCTAATATAGTGGCAAACGGGCATTTTGCTGCCCTTTCAAAAATGAGCACAATTTAGCAAAACCAGGTTCCCGATCCATCTGGGATCCAGCCAACTTCGCACTCTCGGGATATACTGAGCTCTTCTGTTTCACCTGTGATTAATAATTAATTGAATTGTAATTGTTTCAGGATGTCGGTGAGATTCGCGACGATGACCTCAAAGGAATTTTTCGCGAGTTCGACTTGAACGGAGATGGTTTCATTCAGAGGGTTCGTTTGTCATGTATTCAAAGCCCCACTATTCATCAAGTGCACCAAATTGTTCAACGTTAAGCCAGCTACATTAGTTTCAAAAGTACATTCTTACAATTTAGCTCATTTGAAAGCAGTATGTGCATGAGATAGTTTTCTTAACAACGGGGCAGAAAATGTTCTGAAAGTACTGTGGGGCCATAGTCATAGTCATCCTGAGACATAAGGCGCTCTGGAAACAAGTTTGTCGAGCTCATACATATAACTTGTTTTTTTTCTATTCATTTCTTTTTTCTTCAAAGTAATAAAATATTCCCCTCACCGTAGCAATAGCCGGTACTATCAACTTACTTATTTTTGAGTTTGCTAAGTAAAGGCAAAAAAAGCTTAAGTAGTACAAGGTAAACTTTTATGAGTACTATATGGTAAATCTGTTTTCGATTTCTGATCAAAGAAGGACACGGCGGTTCGTCTTCACCTCCTCTACAAATTTTTCCCATTCCCCTTGAGAACTCTTGAACAGGACCCCTCATTATGCCTTTTTGTAGACTTTCTGTATTGGGCTTCTCGTGAATATTTTGCATACATTCAAAGATATGAATGTCATGAGAAATGGCATTGATAAATTTGCTGTTTGTTTACGTAAACATCCTTCGATTAAGGATGAATTACGGTCAGTCATGCAAAAGATGGGACAGTCGCCTACGGAAGAAGAACTTGATGCGATGTTCAACGCCGCTGACCAGGATCACGACGGAAACATTGATTTTAACGGTACGGTTTCTAGATAGTCAAGATCAGCAAAACATTACTGCGATCATTACAACTTCCAAAAATTGGTAATAGGCGAAAAAATGAACTTGAAATTGATTGCGGTAATTGAAGTCCTCATCCTATGAGGATGTCCTCACTGTATCTGGTTGGACCTTGTGCTCATTTTGGTCAGA